AAATAGAAGACTATGCCTTGAGTTTCCGTCTTTTAAGTAATTTGACAATGTCACCAACTAGTAAATAATAGAGGTGGGATTAAAACCTAGTTCTTCCTGACTCTAAATCACATGTTTCAGTCATTATTCAATATGTCTTCTCCCCATAAAAGGAACCTTGAGTTTGTGGCTTTTCTGTAATACTCTTTATCTTGTATCCTGAAACACTCCAACTTATAATATTCTTTTTTGTGTGTGTAGTCAGTGTCCAGAAGGGTACATCTGTGTGAAAGGTGGCAGAAACCCCAATTATGGCTACACAAGCTTTGATACTTTCAGTTGGGCCTTCTTAGCCTTGTTTCGGTTAATGACCCAGGATTACTGGGAAAACCTTTACCAACAGGTGAGTGCCAAGTGAACTATGTATTATGCCATTCAGAATATAGTGTGATCTATGTTTCCTACCAGTCTCTTATTGTGAAGGTATTTTATTCAGTTTAGAATGGAGTAAACTGTATTGCCTTTTTACTAAAATTAGATATGTTTTACTCCTAGCATTACTAGAGTGGATAGTTCTTGAATCATAAATTATTTTCTTAGCCTCTCTAGACTCATTTGATCTCTAGGTCTCTTTCCCCCTTCCTCCTCAGTAGAACATTCCATTTGTCCTAGATAAAAACCAAAAACCAAAACCAAAACCAAAACAAACCCATTTCTATGGAGTCGATTCCAACTCATAGCAACCCTATAGGACAGAGTAGAACTGCCTGACAGGGTTTCCAAGAAGTAGCTGGTGGATTCTAACTGCCAACCTTTTGGTTAGCAGCCGAGCTCTTAAGCAGTGTGAAACCAGGGCTCTTGGTCCTAGGTAAATAGCAGAAAATGTACTATTATGTTCCCTCTCCTGCACACACACTGTTTTCCACACATGCCTCACTGCTTGGAGTGCCCTAAACACACCAGGCACGCCTGTGCTCACTCGTTCGCCATACTTTGTTTGTTGAACTCCCATTTACAATTAAAGACTCAATTCACTTCTTTAAATTTTCCTCTCTCAACCCAAGTGCTCCTTCTTCTAGTTTTTCATGGACCTTTGTATATTCTTCAATTTACAGCATTAATCTCTTGTTCTGTAATTGTTAATTCACGTGGCTGACTCCTCTAACTTGAGTGTGGACCTCTTGGAACCATGGGCTCTATCTTTTGATTTGTATATTCTCAGCACCCTACCCCAAGATAAGGAGGCCAAAATGATTATTCTTCCTTGTAAATAATAATGAATCACTTTTCTCAGAATCACCAGATTCTTATTTAAGACTGTTTTTTAATTTACCTAATTTCTGAGAGTATTATAAATGAATACAGGAAGGATATAAAAATATACTTCACAGGAATAAAAGAATGCAGTGACTTTTTAAATATGCAAGAAGACACTCACTTTTGCTCAAAATAAAATAAATGCAAATTAAAAGTTTAGCGACATACAACATCATTAATACTTCATGTTTAAGGAGATAAAAGAATTTTAGCATTAATAGGGACCATAGATATTATCTGTTCCTAAAATTTGAAAGTGAGCAAAGTAGCTAGTTTTATGAGTAATTTTCAGTCTGTTGAAAAAAGATGCAGTTATTACTATGTTTAATAATAATCAAGAACCATACCTAACTTCACTACTCATTTAATAAGTTGCTATATCATTTATACTGAAAATGTATTTGTTTTAATACTGATTCTTTTCCATGAAGATCTAATTTTATTCCTTTGTTTCTTTTGATGAAATGAGATTATACAAAACTGCTTAATTTACCTATGCCTAACATACCATTCAAGTTGGAATAATTTACCAAAAAAAGTTGTATTATTAATATAATAATTTCTGTTTTACTCTAGACACTGCGTGCTGCTGGGAAAACCTACATGATCTTCTTTGTTGTGGTGATTTTTCTGGGCTCCTTTTATCTCATAAACTTGATCCTGGCTGTGGTTGCCATGGCCTATGAAGAACAGAACCAAGCAAACATTGAAGAAGCTAGGCAGAAAGAGTTAGAATTTCAACAGATGTTAGACCGACTTAAAAAAGAGCAAGAAGAAGCTGAGGTATTGTTATTTAGTTTAAAAGTCTTCTTAGGAAGTGCAAAAGGTAACAACAGAGGCTCTGTGGTCTATGCTTGGCCTTCCCCAGGTAGATTTTCCTTAATGGGTTTTTGTATATAAACTGAATCGTCATTTCTAGTGTGTACGAAGGAACCAATTCTGAATTTAGCTAAAATGGGATGCCTGCCCTGTTCCACTCTCCCCATAATCAGCTGACTCCTGCATGAAAAATCTTCTAAGGTTATTCCTTTTATATCTGTTATCTATGATGCTTCAGTGTACTGAAGGGATTATGCAGAATTCCAGAACATATATAATGCATTTCCCCAGAATAACAATTGTACACAAAGATTTAGGGAAATTATTTTAATGTTAAAGTTAAAAGATACTCAATGGCATAGAAAGCAAAATGTGCATCAATTTTTTTTTTTTAATGTTACAAGGATTTTTAAGATAAAACATGAAATGTTAGAGCCATGCTTATGGTTGTGGCCATTTTAAGCTAAATCAGAAATCCTGAGGGTTCCTCCTTACGCCTCTCTCCAAAGGGGTACTTCAGTGAAAAAATTTGAGATTTGTCTTAAGGGAAACGTAATTCAAAATATACATGAGTCTTAAAAACTGTTTGATGGTTTGTCCTAGTTAAATCCTTTCAAGGAATACAAACTACTGGGTTAAGGTAATAATCTGCAATGTAGAGAACTTTGTTGCACAAAATATTCAGTGCAGCATTTTAATCATATTAAAAATCAGACAGCATTTAAATGTCTAAAACTGGTTAAGCAGATTATGATGTCTTTGTACTTTAGAGTAGTATTTAGCCATAAAATTATGTATTGTAAGAAAATTGTAATGATATGCAGAAAACATAAATATTAAATAGTAGGATAAAAATTGGGTATAAGATACAATCACAGTTTAAAATAATATACATACATAAAGACTGGAAGAAATATTAAACACCAGTTATTTCTGGTATGTAAGATTATGAGTGATTTTATATTTTATTCACAATTTGTTTTTCAGTTTTTTACAATAAATGTTTTGTTTTTATAATTAAAAATTATTTTTTTATAAAGAGGTAGCACTAAGGTTATACTAAAGCATCCATAGAAGTCTATTTCAAGACAATAATTACTGGCCTTACCATTTCCTTGAGATAATATTATTTTTTGATAATTCACTTTCATTTTCAGATAACTCAATCTTCATTAAACTATAGAGTGACTGATTCTACTGATAACAGTGATAATGCTGAGTTCATTGCCTGTATAAGATGTACAAGTTATCTTATTACATGGTTTGTGTGAGTTTTATGTTCCAGAATTAATTAGTAAAACTTTCGCATATAACATTTAGATTTACTTTACTGTAAACTAGTAATAACATGCAATTGTTTAGTTGCAAAGGACAATGGCGTTTTATTACAATGCAAGAGAAGCAAAGGTATGCCTTCTAAGCTTTCAGGTCGTAGTGCAAAGAAAACTACATCACTTCATGTACAAGGACCACAATTATATGCACAGTGTAATTAAAATCATGTCAGAGAGGTACTTTATCAGAGCATTTCCCAGAATTTGGAAAGGACTCACTGTACGTGGAATCTCTTCCTCTTGGCCCAACAGGCAATAGCAGCAGCAGCAGCTGAATATACAAGTATTGGGAGAAGCAGAATTATGGGCCTCTCAGAGAGTTCTTCTGAAACATCCAAACTGAGCTCTAAGAGTGCTAAAGAAAGAAGAAACAGGAGAAAGAAAAAGAATCAAAAGAAGCTGTCCAGAGGGGAAGAAAAGGGAGATGATGAAAAATTGTCCAAATCTGAATCTGAAGAAAGTGTCAGGAGAAAAAGTGTCCACCTTGGTGTGGAAGGGCCTAGGCGAGCGCGTGAAAAGAGATTATCTACCCCCAATCAGGTACCACCTGAACTGTCTAACGCATGTGACCAGAGAGATGATGATAAAGCAGAATGTTTTATGCTTGGGTAACAGGCCTCAGGAGAGGAAACTGAGTGACTTCTTTGATAGGTTTGTAGGTAAAACCTATCTATTGCTGCACATTTATGGAAAGAAGATACTTGTATGTAGTTTTCTATTTAAGTTTGATCATTTTTGAAGGAGCTTATAGTTTCAGAATTGTCATATCTTCTCTAATAATGTTTTCAGAATAAACAGATTTTCCAAAACAACATGTTCCTGAGAACGGTTGTGGAAATGAACAAATTGTTTATACCACAGATTAACTATAATATTTTTATTTAGACTGTTTTTTTGGAATGCCTCATTGGTTAAAAGTAGTCTTGGGTTAGCTTATCCTCTTTTCTTCACCATCTTACATAATGGTTTCACCAGTATTTCAGTCACCCAAGCTGGAAACCTTAGGGACGCCTTTGACAAGCTCCATCTCCAACCACATCAACTACCAACATCTAGTCCCACAGTCTATTAATTTTGCTTGTACAGAATTCCTCTCTCCCTTTCTTTCTTTTTCCACTGAAACCTCCATTGTACAGCCTACCAAGATGAACTATTGCTGCTATTCTCATTAACAATTCCATATTTTCCCTTGCACATTCCCTCAAATCATTTTTTCTGAAACAAAGATCTGAGTTGTCCTTTTGCCCCGCTTTAGAAAAATACTGATGAACAGCCACTGACTACAGAACAAAGCTCACCTCTTGTCCACACCGTGAACTGAACTGCAGCCTCGTTTGGCCACCATTTTCTCCCTCCAGTACCCTCAGTCCACCAAAATGGAGTGCTCACTGTTGCCTACCCGCCCTGTACTTTCATGTCTTTATTACTTGACATACACAGTTTTCTCTAACTGGGATGATTTTCTTATTTGTTTTTCCTCCTGTCACAGTACCATTCATTCTTCATGACTCAGCTGAAGTTCTGTCAGCCCACAAATTTTCCTTTATCCTCTTTGCTCCTTGCAGTCTGCTCTTCAGCGTCCCAGGGAGAATTACTATCCTTCTCATTGAGCCTTCATTTAAAATTTCTAGCTTCTACTACTTAGTCTAAAAGACCCTGACAGGGATACAAAGAAATAAAAGATAGAGCCCCTGCTTGCAAAGATTTCACAGTCTAATTGTACAGACAGAATTCGAACACATACAAAGTTATTTAAGATATAACTGAAAAGAAATATGACAAAAGTAGTACAATCTTGTTTTGAGGCAAGGACCTTGCTGTATTCATTTCTACATTGTTCACAATGCCTAGCACTTTGTCCTTTACATTGTAAGTGCTAATGTTTATTGATTTAGATACTTCCCAAATAATTTGCATTCAGTTGGGTTTATGGTTTATCCTGTACATGAGTTATATAAGCATGACTTTTTTTCCTTCTTTGGTATTGGGCAATTTCTTTTCCAAGCTCTAATATTTTATGACTTTGTGAACTCACTAGTATCAAAGGTTTTTCTTAACCTTAACTGAGCTCTCAACTCATGAAGTGGAGTTGCAAGCAAAGGAATGGGAAGAAGCATAAGACATAGTCTTTGTTCTCAAGGACATTTCAGTTATTTGTGGAACTTGGGGACATACATGAAAAGCTAATTAGATACTATCAACACTCAAAATTTTTTAAACAACATATTATTTATAGCCAGATGAATGGTAAGAAACAGACTAGAGAGGTGACTCTAGGCTAAAATAGTAGAAAACTGTACAGTAAAGAATAATTTAACTGATCCTGAGAGAATGAATTTTTCAAATAATTTCATCCCTTATTTGGATGAATTCTTACTGCTGAATTTCTTTGTTTTTAAGTTTGTTTCTTTTAAACTAATCCTTGCCCCCAGATCAATGGTTCCACTAGTAGTTATGCGACGTGCACTTCTATGTTCGGCACTTTAGCGGATACATGTCATCTTTTGTTTCTTCTGCAGTCACCACTCAGCATTCGTGGCTCCTTGTTTTTTACAAGGCGCAGCAGCAGAACAAGTCTTTTTAGTTTCAAGGTTCGAGGAAAAGATATAGGATCTGAGACTGACTTTGCCGACGACGAGCACAGCATTTTCGGAGACAACGAAAGCAGAAGGGGCTCACTGTTCGTGCCCCACAGACCAAGGGAGCGGCGCAGCAGTAACATCAGTCAAGCCAGTAGGTCCGCCTCAATGCTGCCGGTGAACGGGAAGATGCACAGTGCCGTGGACTGCAATGGTGTGGTCTCCCTGGTTGATGGACCCTCAGCCCTCATGCTTCCCAATGGACAGCTTCTGCCAGAGGTGATCATAGATAAGGCAACTTCTGATGAGAGCGTAAGGACATTTTAAATAGCTCAGGCATGGCTGAGCCCTTACTCCTGCATCGATCATTCTCTCTGCTGGAGGGGCCTTCTCTCTAATCTTGTGAATGGCTCTGCATTTTGCAATACCCCTTCTGTAGAAACACACATTTAACTCATTAACTTTAAACCTCCTGCCGTGTGTTGTAGACATCTAATTCAAAGATTTTCAGCACACTTTTAAAAAATAACCACCAGTCGCTTCTTGAAAACCCTATGGGGCAGTTCTATTCCGTCGTCTAGGGTCGCTATGAGTTGGAATCAACTCAGCGGCAATGCATAGCTATCGATTTTATAACTGAAGATTAAAAATCCATCCTTTAGAGAACAATTTATAAAAGATATATATCAGCACGGAAAATGCTGATCTTATTAGTTGATAGAAGACCCTATTTCTGTAAAGAAAGTTGGATTATTGACCTACTACTATCTTTTTCAGGTTGCTACTTAATATATACCTTAGTATTTACAATCGCTGTTGGGTGATATTGTATTACCAACCTTGTTTTACACATGGGGAAATTGAGGCACAGAAAAATAATGTAATTTTCCCAAGATCACTCAGCTAATAAATTATAGCCCTGAGGCTGAAATAGAAGCCCTCTGGTTAAGAACTTACGCTCTGTGCCTGTCCAACATGTAGTAGGTTTCCTGCAAATAGCTTAGAATAGTTATGCTTTTATAGAGTTCCCGTATATCAATGAAACTTACTGCTTTTGTGAAAAATATCTCTTTATCAATTTTGTCTGGAGTCAATGAATAAAAATTTAACAACAAAAATATATACATTGATACAAACATACATAAAAACAAAACAAACAAAAAAAGCAACGACTCCAAAACACTTCCAAGAATTTAGCAAGTCATTGAGTGAGTGATGTAAAAAGTCTGCTTAGGCTTGAAGGTCAGATTTTTCTGGTCCCCGAACTTTCTAGTTTATCTATTAAGGCCATTCACTGTGTTGCAGTAAATATCATCAAGGGCTTTGACTAACCCAGCAAGCTTTGCATTCATGCTACATATTCATATATTCATATTAGCATACATTGTAATATTTCAAGTGAGAATAAAGTTCCATCGAAGCCATGGCCACACACTTATTTCAGTTTGAATGACTGCATGTGCTTTTAGGTAATGTGGGACCGCTCTGCTTGCATGATACAGCTTCAGCCCTTCTCTCAAGGCATTTTTCCTTATCAAACAAGCATGTTAAATTTCCGTAGAGTCAGATCTTCATTGTGTTTTTACTTTTCAACAATGTGTATAATCCATAAAATGTAATTTATATCAGATTTGGAGATTATTTTATATTTTTAATGAATTTTTTTCATTTAGACCTTTATTTTTACCACAGGAAAAAAGAGTACCATAATAAATTACAAAACTAAAACTACAAAACCGTAGAAGTGAATTCTCTTAAGATTCAATAGAAATACAATAAACATCATAAAGTGGCATAATCATATGGTTTAGGTGAAAAATTGCATTACAAATAATATAATCTCTATGCCTGAAACATGTCTACAAGGAAAAGAATTTGTTAAACAAATTCTTTTTGCCCAATTCTTGTTTGATTTGGGGAAAAAAAAAATCTCTGCTTTTGGAAAGCCAGTGATTAGAGACCAAAGCAGAGAAAGCATGTTTATAGAGAGATCCCAATAAAAAGCCACCTGCTGATATGTGTGCATGCACGTATACAACATAAATACATACACACATGCACATATCTATGTAAGTATATGTTTTATATACATATATAACTATATATATATACACACACACAACTATCAACTTTCCAACTCTACAACTATATATGTTTGTGAAATGTATCTATTATAAAAAAGTGTATATATGTATTTGTAAAGTGGTATGTATATATACATATGCATCATACACAAGCAGATAGACAGATAGGTAGATGATAGATAGATAATAGATAGATAATAGATAGATAGATGCAGAGTTGTATAGTTGTTCATTTGCATGTGTGTGTATGTGTGTGCACGTGTGCTTACATGTATTTGTGTGTGAATGTATTGTTGGCTTGCACTAAACCGGCCATGGTGTTTTAAATTTGAATCAGTTGCCAAGATTTAAAAAGAAGAGCTCTCACGTAGAAGTGAATTTATCTGGTAAGACAGAGCTCATATTCCTGCATGGCAACAATCTTTTAGAGCTGAACACTGGTCACCTCTTTTAGATGGAGCTTGCATTCTCCATTTTGCTATAGTCCCCATGTCTAAATTGTCTTTTTTAAACTCAGTTATTTATTATCTTATATATTCAGATCAGTTTATGAAATCTTCCTTGGTAGTAAAAAACAATAACTTAACTTCAGTAGCCTCCATTATGTTACTGTTCAAATAACTATATTTATCAGAGAATACTGAGATTCTATCCCTTTATACACACCACTACCTCAATACTTGTTTAGCAGTTTTCATATAGGACTCTTACATGGTAATATTATCTAAATAAATTGGAGACCCAGAAAAGTGGAGAGATGATGATAGTTGACTATAACAATAAAAGCAGCTAGATTTTTTTTTTTTTAATTTCCTGAGTATAAATTCCTTTAATCCTCATAACAAGACTATGAGGCAGGTACTATTTCCCCCATCTTGCCAATGATGAAACTGAGACACAGAGAGATTAAGTAACTCTCCTATGATATACAGCCAGAAAGTAGCAGACCCATGATTAGAACCCAGCAATCTAGTCTGTACTTTTAATTACTCACTATAACTACTTAAGCCAGATTTTATTTTATACTTACAGTTTATTAGAATCCTATTCTTGAGACTAATTAATCATCTTTTTTTCAGGGTACAACCAATCAAATGCACAAGAAAAGACGATCCAGTTCTTATCTCCTTTCTGAGGATATGTTGAATGATCCCCATCTCAGACAAAGAGCAATGAGTAGAGCGAGCATATTAACAAACACTGTGGAAGGCATGTAACAATATTCTCTTTATTATACTACTTTTTAAAATAAAGTTATGAAAAATCCTGGTCAACCTCAAATAGGTAAATGAAGTTCTTACGAGGAACTCAAAGAATTTAAATGGTTTTCAGCAATAATAAAGTAACCAATGGGTACTAATAGAATTCTCTTCGTGTGTTCTAAAAAATGGGTAAAAGGAACCTAATTTGCTGTGTAAACTTTCACATAAAATACTGTTTTTCAAATGGATAAAATTACTTGAGATTAAAGAGGAGCACTGAGTAATATGACCTTTTAAACATAAATAGTTGAATGGTAGTTGATGCAGAAAACCAGGTTAACCTACACTATGTGATTCCCTGACGGTGATCTTAGAAATTTTACCTAGTCTCTGAATTTCAGTTTCCTCTTCTGATATGAATAAGAAAATAATACATACTTTAGATATTTAGAAATTGCTGCCTCTAAACCCATTCTATAAAAAGGGCCTTTGTAAAATGGTAACCCCTGATGTGACATCATATTAAGATTATGATAAAAAGGCATTAAAGAAAGCAGTTTGAAGAATGCAATCTGAACAACAGTGGTTAGACCCTGAGATTCACTGAGAAGAGATTCAAAGGGTGGCTGTTTTTCAGAATGTGCTGGCTTCCACTGCCACCCCCACAATATGTCCCAGTTCTTACCCTGCCCACAGGCTAACCAACCCCACCCCCAGTGGACCCAAGCACAGTTTCCACTCACCACCTGAGTTAATGGTGAGAAGCAAATGGGCTGATGGTGTGAAATATCTGGTGCATGAGTCCTCCGTAAATTATTTGTAGTCTCAACATTCAGGGATTTTTCTTTTTCACCTGTGAACTAGCAAGAGGTTTTCCTGAATAGAATTTTCTTCCTGTCTTCAAGAGATTGAAGACACAGTGGGGAAAGCATGTATACTGGGGAAAAACAAACAGTTCTCCTTTAAGGAAATGTTGGTACTCCTGTGTACCATCCCATGTCAGGCGCATGTTTTCTCTGAGATGCCGATATGTCTGCTCTCAGTCATTAATTTCTCTGCCTTCCCCTCACTGAAGCTTGAGTCGGTCAACAAACCTACGATACAAGACCCTTACGCACTATGCAGTGCTTTCATAGATACAGCCCTGTTAAATTTGCAAAGTCTAAATCAGAACTTTGCTTACATATTAAAGTGCAGTGTTGATTTTTATCAGATTAGGAATAAAATATACAAATGACTGACTTCGTGTTCTTTGTTTGTTTGCTTGTTTTCTCCCTCCCAGAACTTGAAGAGTCCAGACAAAAATGCCCACCTTGGTGGTACAGATTTGCACACACTTTCTTGATCTGGAATTGTTCTCCATATTGGATAAAATTTAAAAAGTTGATCTATTTTATTGTAATGGATCCTTTTGTAGATCTTGCTATAACTATTTGCATAGTTTTGAACACATTATTTATGGCTATGGAGCATCACCCAATGACTGAAGAATTCAAAAACGTGCTCACTGTGGGAAATTTGGTGAGTTTGTTATGGTGTATTATGTACCCCTAGTTTCTCTTTGTTATTATTACCATTGTCATTTCATTTTTGTTTAAGTAAGATGGACCTGCAGCTAGGTAATTATACACATCAAGAATTCACGATGTGAATCATTGTGCAGACTCAAGTTTCTGGTTATATATATTATTTTCAAATGATTTTACACTAGTGTTGGGATCTATGAATAACATTACCATTTCCATAAAGGGTTGCCTTCTTGACAGTTGACGGTGTTTTTTTCTGCCAGCAGGTCTCTTGGGAGCAACACTTTCAAAATTTGATACTTCCTTACATATTTTATAGTTACACTGGTACTTCCTTGTGAGTACATACCCCACATATTTTTAGAAAAGCTATGGAAACATTGTTTTGATACAATAGTAGAGAAGCATGTAGGCATTTCCAGCCTCCAGAAGTACAGATTTGAATCCTGAGTCTGCCTCTTACTAATTGTGTGACCTTGGAAGAATAAACTATGTTCTTTAATTTTCTCATTTACAAATATAAAAAGTAATAAAACTCATTAATAATATTTTTGGAGGGGTTAAATATGTTCTATTTATTAGCCTGGCATATAGTAAGTACTTGTTATGGACTGAATCGTGTCCCCCAAAAATATGCATCAACTTGGCTAGTCCATGATTCCCAGTATTGTGTGATTGTCCACCATTTTGTCATCTGACGTGATTTTCCTGTGTGTTGTAAATCCTACCTCTATGATGTTAATGAGGTGGGATTAGCGGCAGTATGTTAATGAGGCAGGACTCAATCTAGAAGATTAGGTTGTGTTTTAAGTCAATCTCTTTTGACATATAAAATAGAGAAGCAAGCAGAGAAACGGGAACCTCATACCACCAAGAAAGAAAAGGCGGGAGAGTAGCATGTCCTTTGTACCCGGGGTCCTTGCACTGAGAAGCTCCTTGAACAGGGAAGCTTGATGACAAGGACCTTCCCCCAGAGCCGACAGAGAGAGAAAACCATCCTCTGGAGCTAGCACCCTGAATTTGGCCTTCTAGCCTCCTAGACTGTGAGAGAATATATTTCTCTTTGTTAAAGCCATCCACTTGTGGTATTTCTGTTACAGCAGCACTAAATGACTAAGACAGAATTTGGTACCAAGAATGGGGTACTATTCTAACGGATACCTAAAATGTGGAAGTGGTTTTGAAACTGTGAATGGATAGAGGCTGGGAAGAGTTTTAAAGTGCCTAATAGTAAAAGCCTAGATCACCTTGAAGAGACTGTTAGAATTATGGACATCAAAGATAATTCCGGTGAGAAGGAAGTGAGGAGAACTGTTACACTGGAGACGGCGCAGAACGATATGCAGCAGCAGAGAAAGGGCAGGAGCAGAACCAGGAGACCAGCATGAGACAGCGCTGGAGCTGACTCACGGATCAGGAGGGCTGAGTGCCTTTGTGCAGGTGGCTTCCTGGCAGAGTGGGGTACCTCCAGGCACTTATTGGTGGATCCAGGCTTGCCAACCCATGGAGCAAGAGAGCTAAGTGCCTTCTGGCTGAAGTTTTACTGGCAGAGTGGGGTGCCTCCAGATACCTATCAATGGAGTGAAAGAGCTTTAGAACATTTGTCCCAGCAGGGCAAAGGTGACCAGGGCAGACGTGGGCGGAGAGGCCCGAGGAACTGAGAAGCCAAGGAACCAGGAAAGAGAAGCTGAAGAGACAAAGAGCACAGGAAGCTGCCTTAGTCTCAAAGGGCAGCACCATGACCTCTGGGGCTTCAAAGGGTGAGGCCACAGCCTCCTAGGTTTCAGAGAGTTAGATCTTCACCAACTCGATTCTGTTGTGTGGGGCTGCAGTTCACAAGTGCCAGCAGGATGGGGCCAGATCCATTGCTCAAAGCTAAAGGGGCAAGGCTGCCATGCCGAAGGGGCATAAGAACAGAGCCTGCAGGGCCAAGGGCGTAGGGTCACCACTCAGATGGACTAGGAGAATGGGGCCGCCCAAAGCCGAGGGAGCAGAGTTGCCATTCTAGTGGGCCTGGAGGATGGAGCTGAAGCCCAAGGCCGAGGAGCCTCCACTAACAGTCCAGAGAGCGTGGCCAGTACCTAGAGTCTGGAGGGTAG